TGCATGCATGCAGCTACCCGCCGACAATAGACATAGGAATGGCTGTATCTTTATCTGATGGTTTAGTGACGCCTGTATTGAAGGATGTGGGTAGAAGAAATATAAAGGAGATAGCAGCAAGCTGGCAGCAGCAGCTAGCAGCAGCAAGAAATAATAATTTTGCTGCTGCTTGTCTTTCTGGTGCTTCTTTTTATATATCTAATTTAGGGGGTTCTGACGTTCACTCATTTGACTCTATTCTCCCTGCTGCATGCGGATGTATACTTGCTGTTGGGGCGGTGCAGCAGATATACTCTCCTCCTGCTGCTGCTCCTGCTGCTGCTGCTGCTGCTGCTGCTGCTGCTGCTCCTGCTCCTGCTGCTGCTGCTGCTGCAGCAGCAAAAAAAATTATGCATGTTACGCTTACTTGTGATCATCGGCATATATATGGACAACATGCAGCTGACTTCCTCAAGGTATTTATTTTTTGTTTTATTTTTTTATTTTTTTTATTTATTTATTTAATTTATTTTGTTTATTTTATTTTATTTATTTTTATTTATTTGCTTTATGTATTTTGTTTATTTATGTGTTTTGTTTTTTGTTTTGTTTATTTTTGTTTGTGTCTATCTCTATTTTTCTCTTTTTTATTTTTGTTTTTGTCTCCTTTTCTCTCTGTCTCTTTCTCTCTTTTTTATATTTCTCTTTCTTTCTCTTTTTCTTTCTGTCTCTTTGTCTCTCTTTCTGTCTCTCTTTTTTGTATCCTTCTCTGTCTCTCCTTCTCTGTCTCTCTTTCTCTCTTTCTCTCTGTCTCTCTTTCTTTTTTTCTTTCTGTCTCTCTTTCTCTGTCTCTCTTGCTCTGTCTCTCTTTCTCTGTCTCTTTCTTTGTCTGTATAGATTCATTTATTTACATATCTCTATATCTTTATTATATATATTATATCTATTATATATTTATTATGTGTTATATATGCATAAAATATATATTATGTATAATATATATAATATATATATATTATATACAATATATATAGACATATATATATATATATATATATATATATATATATATATATATATATATACAGATGCACATATATTATG